GCAACATCGCTCACATCACACATGAGCTCAAAAGGCAAGCTCCAATTAGGTGCGGTAATGATAGGAGTGGTGGTCAACTTATGCTTGAGAAGTTCAAAGGCTTGCATGCACTCTCATCGAACACAAACTTGGCATCCTTTTCCAATAGCTTGCATAAGGGGTTCACTACCTTAGAAAAGTCTTTGATAAATCTCTAGTAGAACCCCGCATGCCCAAGAAAACTTCTAACTCCCTTAACAGAGGTAGGGGAGGGAGCCTTGAAATCGCATCAATTTTTGATTTGTCTACCTCAATACAGTGCTTTGAAATTTATGCCCAAGAACTATGCCCTCTTCTACCATGAAGTGGCATTTCTACCAACTAAGAACAAGATTGGTTTCTTCACAATAGGCCAAAACTCTATCAAAATTTTTCAAATACTCATCAAATGAATCACCCACAACACTGAAGTCGTCCATGAACAACTCCAAAATATCTTCTACCATATCGGTGAAAATGGCCATCATACACCAAATGTAGCCGGTGCATTACGCAACACAAAAGGCATTTGAGAAAAGGCAAATGTGCCATATGGACAAGTGAATGTGGTCTTCTCCTGGTCTTCTAGAGCAATCAAGATTTGGTTGTACCCAGAATACCCATCCAAGAAACAATAGAAGGCACGCCTAGCAAGTCGGTCTAACATCTGGTCAAGAAAAGGCAATGGAAAGTGATCCTTGCGGGTCACTTTATTCAACTTGCGGTAGTCCATGCATACCCTCCAACCGGTGATGGTTTTGGTAGGAATCAGCTCAATTTTTGAATTTGCAACCACGGTCATGCCACCCTTCTTCGGTACACATTGCACCGGCGAAGTCCAAGAGCTATCAAAGATGGGGTACACAACCCCGACATCCAACCACTTGATTACCTCCTTTTTCACAACTTCTTGCATGGCCTCGTTCAATCTCCTTTGATGTTCCAAGGAGGGCGTTGCATCATATTCCAGAATAATCTTGTACATACAGAATACGGGGCTTATCCCCCGGATATCAACTAGAGTCAATTCAATTGCCTTTTTCCGCTTTTGAAGCACCGCTAATGTGGCATCAACCTACATGTTAGTAAGACAAGAGGAAAAAATAACTTGCAAAGTAGAACTAGGTCCTAAGAACTAATACCTGAGGTGTGGAGGCAACGACTTCAATTCCAACACCGGAGGCTCCTCAATTGAAGGTTTTTTTGGTGGAGTCTTCCAATTCTCAAGGTCCAAAGATAGTTTTCTAGGCTCATAAGAGTAAGAGCCCATTCTATGTAAAGCATTCACACACTCCACTCGGCCCTCATCATCATTGACATCAAGATTCAACAATACGGCCTCCAGAGGGTCCTCCACATTGATCATTGCACTGGTATCATCAACTATCACTGCCGTGACAAGGTCCACAAAAGAGCACACCTCGGAACTGTTGGGCTGCTTCATTGACTTGCACACATGAAAGACCATTTTTTCATCACCCACCCGGAAGGTGAGTTCCCTTGCTTCCACATCAACTAAGGCCTTCCCAGTAGCAAGGAAAGGTTTCCCCAATATGATTGGAACGTCATAATCCACCTCAGAATCCAAGATCACAAAATCAGCTGGCAAGATAAATTTGTCTACCCAGACAAGCACATCATCAATAATACCCAATTGTCTCTTCATCATTCTATCCACCATTTGCAATCTCATGGAAGTCGGCCTCGGTTGCCCAATATCAAAAGTCTTGAAAACTGAGTAGGGCATCAAGTTGATACTTTCCCCCAAATCACATAGAGCCTTAGCAAAGTCCGCACTCTCAATGGTGCAAGGAATGGTGAAAGCACCGGGATCTTTGTCATTAAGTCCTTCATGAATTTAGCATAGCCCGACATTTGTTCAAGAGCCTTCGCTAAGGGCACATTAATGGATAATCTCTTCATCATATCAATGAACTTTTTAAACTAATTCTCATTTTTTTTGCTTTGCTAGCCTTTGAGGATAAGGTGGAGGTGGCCTTGGCAAAGAAGCCTTGACTTTAGGCACAACCGGCTTCGGCATGTCTATTACGTGTTCCCCTAGACGGGTTCGCATCATTTTGAGTTTCCACCTCGGCATCTTGAATATCAATCCTCACTTCTTCATTCACATTCTCATCAATCCCATTTTCAACCACCAAAGGAACTCCATCTTCTTGCAACTCAACTTCATCACTCAAAATTTGCTTTTGTTTGGAGGCATTCACATCACCGCCTCGTCCACTCCTTGTAGTTACCGCCATAACATGATTGTTCCCACCCTTCGGGTTTACTACCGTATCACTTGGTAGAGCACCCTTAGGCCAAGTATTCAAGGACTATGAGATTTGGCCTAACTGAACCTCCAAATTTCTAATTGAAGTATTGTGGGAAGATAACTGAGCATCGGAATCCGCACTCTTCTTCATCATCTGTTCAAACATCATTTCAATTCTCCCTATATCAGGGTTAGAAGAACTAGGACATTAGGATGAAAATGGGGGCGGATTGTTCGGTTGTTGGTACATTTGGGGCCTTTGAAAGCCTTGCCCCCGGTTTTCTTGGTTGCCATTGTTCCACCCACCTTGATTGTTGTTACCACCCCTTTTGTTGTTGTTCCATTCCAATTACCCCGATTGTTCTGATTATTGTTCTGATTGTCCCAGTTGGAGTTTTGGTTGTTGTTCCCCCAATTACCATTGCCTTGTTATTGATTGCCCCAATTGCCTTGGGGCCTCCATTGTTGTTGGTTGGAAGAATTGCCCCTTTGGCCTTGATAATTGTTCACGTATTGTACCTCTTCATTTTCCCCATCATAACTATCATCTTGGAATCCACCACAATCATTGTCAAATTGCTTCGAATTCCCTTGGTTCTGTTGACCTTGTTGTTTTCTTTTGTTGACTAGCATGTTGACACCCTCCATAGCATTTACTTGGCGAGGATTTTGAACTTGTTGCAACTGTGCCTTTGCTAGTTAGTTCATTGTAGTTGTCAACTCAGCTATAGCCTGCCCATGATCATATAACTCCTTGTGCAAATGAGTGACCGTGGGGTCACCCTGAGGCACATTGGCTCTACTTTGTAAAGTAGAAGAAGTATCATCCATCTCGTCAAGAATGTCACAAGCCTCATCATAAGACAACTTCATGAAGTTGCCCCCAGCAAGTTGGTTCACTATGCATTGGTTTGTTATGTTAATGCCCCGGTAGAAAGTCTGTTGGATCATCGCCTCAGTCATATCATTGTTGGGGCATTCCTTCACCATTTTTCTATAGTGCTCCCAAATCTCATGCAAAGGTTCAGTGGGCTCCTGCTTGAAAGCTAAGATCTCATATCTCAATGCTGCCATATGCCCCAGTGAGAAAAATTTTGCAATAAACTTGTCCGCCAACTCATCCCAAGTTGTGATGGAATGGTTGGAAAGTCACTCAAGCCAATCCGATACATTCCCTCTAAGTGAGAATGGGAAGAGTCTCAATCGAAGTGCATCCTCGGACACATTAGTTTTCTTGCTCCCCCAACAAGTATCCACGAACCCCTTGAGATGTTTGTAATCATTTTGATTGGCAGCGCCCATGAAATACCCACACTGCTCCATCAATGTCAGCATCACATTGGTAATTTGAAAATTGCCGCTCCAATCCGGGGCAGGACAATTGCACTTGCATAGCCTTGGTTTGGAAGCACTCGAGGAGCCACTCTCTGAGGTGGTGGGGGAGGGTCTAAAATATTATCATTAGCCTGACGGCCTCTCCTTTGTCCTTGAGGCACAATAGGGACCTCATCTTCAACATTGTCATCTACTTCCTCCCCTGGCAGAAGATCTCCAAGAGGTGTGTTGTTTAAGTTTGCTGCCATTTAGTGCCTGGAGTTGTGACAAACACAAATTAGTAACAAATAAGGAAAGAAGAACGATACACAAAACTATTTAGATAGATAGCCAAAACCGTTAGCTCCGCGGTAACGGCACCAAAAAGTGATCGAGGCCAACCCTATACTACTATGAAGTAGCAAAAGAGATCGAAGCACCTTTTACCCGAGAAGGTCGGGATCGATTTCCACAGGGAGCTAGATATTGGAGTTGAGTTTCTATCTAAAGTAGAGTTGTGTATTTGTTCCTAATTGCACTTCTGAACATTTTTGGTTTTGATATTAATTCTAATTTTATAATACTACAATGCTAAATTAGGCTAAGTAAAGCTAAGATTAAACTATTGCAAGTTTTTCAAATAGATAAAAAGGCACTAGGGTAGTGACTTTCTCCTAGGTGGCTAATTGATGGATTCTTGAGTATAAGGCTAGATTGTCACATTTGGAGAATATGATATAACCATTGTACGATTCTGCTCACTCTACACCTCTCGGTGGTTCGAGTGATTTTGCCCGAATTAACTTTCTCAAGACCAATTGGGTATGCAAATTTATGCAAGCAATCAAGGTTCAAGTCGGGTATTACTATCTCTAGGTTTAACCCTTTAATTGGGGCTATCAATCTCTTGAATACGCCCCAATTCCTTGTTGGACTAATTTCATGGACTTAGGCTCTCTTTCTCAAGAATAGCCAAAGTCTACTAGGCATAAACTAGTGTTTGCAACTACTAATTCCACATTAAAACCCTAAATTAGCCCAAATATCAAACACCCATAGACAATCAAGCATCAAAACACAAGACCCATCGATTACCCACACTAGGGTTGAGCCACAACCCTAGCTGATGGGTCTAGATACTTATAACACTACAATAAATTTAGCCTACAACCACACTTATTTTAGACTGCGCCCAAGAAGTGTTGCAAAAATATTTATGAGAATGCTTTCAAATGGTGGCCTTTGGGTAGAGTCTTTGACTACAGTTTTTAAGGCAACGCTCAGAAAGCATTCCTTTTAAACAAAAAGACTACACTTTTTAAGGGTGGCTAATAATAAAATATTTGACAACACTTATTATAGGTATTGTAATGCTTTTAAAGAGTGGTTTTATTGGCAGAACTAATGTAACACTGCGTACCTTAAAAATTTACCCCCAAAATTTTCTAAAAAAATCAAAAGGCAGTAACATGATACTCATATGTATATCTCTTTTCAGAAGTACTAGAAAATTCCCCCCATCCCCAATTCATCTTCCTTCCCCATGGTTTCACAAAACTCAGCTTCACGTTGCTTCTGTTACTGAAGCAATACCATTATTGTCTCCTGGGCTGACTGGTAGGGTGTTCTCTTTCTTTTGTTTCGCTGATTCGCTGCTATTTTCTCACTTCCTGCTTCGTCTTTTTAATTTTTTTCTTTTGGTTTGATATTAATATACCTAAATAGCTAAATTTTGCTCAGGATCGATAATCTTCCGTTGTTCGAGATGAGCGGCTAAGATCTCTTCTTGCGATTGTGCAGTCATGACGATGAGAGTTTTATGAGAAAAATTCAGTTCAGTTGTTAAAAAAGACTCACGCTGACTCCTAAAACCCTAGACGTCGAAGAAATTTGTGAATTTTTCGTTTTTGCGTAGGATTCAGCGGGTAATAAACTGTGATTATATTATCTTTACCAATACTGATCTTGAAATTACTACTTTTATTCTAACATTGTATCATTATTTGCTAAGAAATATTAACCAACGATAAAAAAATTCTTGTGTGCATTTGTTAATTATGCTAATTAAGCACAGGGGGAAATTAATAGTCATAAATTCTTATTAAGCTATAGGGAATATCTGTATTTAGCTTTGTTATCTTCTGAATGTTAAAATTTATATTTCAACACATGCTTCATTGTTACGAGAGGTCTTGTTTATGGCAAAATTGGGTACAAAGGTATTCATGTTAGTATTTTTGTATTGAATTCTAATATCTGATTCTTTTCTCCACCAAAATTAGTCAACACTCGAAAAGATCCGTGGTATACTTGAAGTTAGGTTTGGCATAAAATAAGTGTCATGACTAGGTAAGAGATTCATATTCTCTTTATTTTCTTATTATGCTACTATACAACACCCTATTTTGGAAAAGTTTATTATTTTTAATATCTATTTGTTATGTATAGTTATTGCTTATGTGAATATCTATTTTCAAATCTAATATCACCATTGATTTTTAGGTTTTCAAATGTTCTGTCCTAAGGCTGGATGAATCTACCAAGGTATAACAAATAGTATACTGATGGTGTTCAATATTCCAGGGGCTTTGCTAATTCAAATGATGAATGTTTGTACATGTTAGTCAATTGCTTGATTAACAACTAAAGACACTAGAAACTCCAACTTTAATATTCATTTTTTGTTTTTGACGCTTTAGTCTCTGTTTATTTTATATGCAGATTGTCCCTTTTGGTATTGGTAGAAGGTATTAAATTGGTTATTTTTGACTCTCTTTGTTAAAATCTAAAGCTGCATATGTAAGCATTTTGATCTTATTTGGTTCCTTAAATTTAAAGCATTTGGTTACTATTTCTCGTGCCTCAAGTAAATATTGTAACATGAAGAACTATATTACATCATATAGAATATATGAAAAGAAGTCTAAGTCCTCTACTTTTGAACTATACAACCAGAGAAGTGAAAGGGAAGTACCTTAAGTAAATAATATCACCATCATATTACCTGAAGGCTGATCGATGAAGAGTGCCTCTACTGCTGATGTCATTATTGCAAGAATTGAGATGCTTCCCTCTGTTAATTGCTAGTTTAGGCTGTTAGAAATACCTTATGGCAAAATGGTTTAAGTTGGAGTTTGACCTTTGTTTCATGGCCTATAAAAGTAACTTTGCTGGTCACGCTATTGCCATCAAGACTTTCAACCATTTGATATTCAATATCTGATTATCCCTGCTATATGTTGCCGTAAGAAAGGACAATCTCTTGATATTTTAAGTAGGTAAAGGAATCCTTAATTAGTAGCTCAAGAATGTTGTTGTTTCCTGTTGTTTTTGTCTGTAACTTACTTTTGACATTCCCAACCTAGAAGCTCCGACAGATTAGTTTCTAAAGTTACCTAGTTACTTGTCATAATGCTCTTGTGGTTTCTAATTAGGAGGTAGCTCTGTAAAGGGGATGCAGTCAAAGGTTTGTAGAACAATTTCTGATTTTTTGAACTTTGTGCTAATAATCCTTTGTAGCAACTAGTTGGCTTGTGATGAATTGTAAGACTAGGGAGCGAGTCCAATATGCAAAGTGGAAAATGATTTTTGAGGGCTTCATGGAATTAAAGTAGATCATAGATGAGGCGGTAGTGGAGTGTCTTTTATTAAACATTTTTTGACTTGCAAGATAGGGCAGAATTACTCAAGTTTTTAATCTAGGATTGAACAAGTCCAGATGATTTAAAATCATTAATGGTGTAGTTTGCTTTTTTTAGCCGATGGTCTATCGGAAATAACCTCTTTGCCCTTCCAGGGTTACGGTGTAAGGGTAAGGCTGCATACATCTTACCCTCTCCAGACCCTCCTTGTGGGAAACTACTGGGTTGTTGACTAATAAAATTACCTTAAGTATTTAAGCAAGTTTTATAGTAGTAACATGCTCTTTTTCTTTTTTATTACTGTCAGATGGTTCAAATCCAACTAAAGAAGATTGTGGACTAGCAAAATTACGGAAGCACATAGATATTGAGCAGGTATCTCTGCAACTTGATAGTTTAGCAGTTATCTTTTGTATTTTCACACCTTTAAACTTTTTTTATGAATTGAAAAAGAAAACTTTTATAGTCATAGTTCATATTTGTGCTTCTATGTTATTATGTTGTACTATCTTTGTTAAATTATGTTATTACACCAGCAAAAACTTTTACAGTACAAATATATAGAGTTGTAAGATTGAATTTTGTCAATACATCAGAATTTTCCCAATGTTTTTGTGTTTTGCAATATTTTGTATTTCTGCAGTGTGTTTTATTTCTGTGCAATGTTTCTATAGTGTTTTGTATTTTGCACAACGTTTCTGTATTTTTGCATTTCTACACAGTTTCTGCATTTTCGTATTTCTGCACTCTTCAACATTTCGTATTTCTGCATAGTATTTCAACAAATTATGCATCTCTGCATAATGTTTCTGCAGTGTGTTGTATTTCTGGTCATTGTGGTATCTAGCCCTTTGAAAATGCACATAGTATGTATATATATCAGTGTTATAATTTGTATCATGTACTATATTATCTTCAATTTTCATCTTTTTATGCATGTCTTGCTCAATGCTGGTACATCTTCCACGTTCCTCTGGCTCGTGGTCCGATTCTTGAAAAGGTATTTTTGATTGTTTAGGTTACAATGGCACATTATGCCTGTTTTAGATCTATTTTTGATAGTACAGGAGTAAATTTGGCTCTTTTTTCCTATTTGAATAAAGGTTAGACACTATTTGTTTAGAATTATATAGAGAAGTGCTTAGAGATATAGTTTGTTATTTTGGAAAACATAATAGCTATGAGAAAACATAATAGCTATCTTATTACTTATTTTATTTTGAGTTTGTAGGGAAGCTCTGGTGAGCAAATTGGAAATAGTAGCCACAAGGCAATTTGATCTGTCGGAGTTTAATGATGAAGAGCTTGGACAATTATAATTTATATTATTCTTAATACTATAATAATTACGGTTGATTTTGTAAAGTTAATTGTTAGCATGCACCTTTGAGCAATTTGCTTTATGCGGTGATGTATCACACACAAGATTTATTCATTTTTAAAGTTAATTGCAAGTATATGCATTTGAATTATTCCTTTGTTATCTTCTAGTTAATTGAGTGCTTGAGATCGAGATCTTCATGCTCAATATGATTATTGGATACATAAAAAATGTAAATTCTTTATTATAAAAGCATGGCTTATAATATATATATATANATTAGTAAATTTGTAGCCTACATAGCAGCAAGACCCACGTTTTAGAAGTGTTATTTTAAGAGCTACACTAGAAAAGTGTTGCCTAAAGATCAACTAAGACAACATTATTAATGTGTTGCTGTTGTACACGTACGTTGCCATAGAGGGTACTTCTAAGACCACACTTGTAAAGTGTTGCCTTTGGGCAAAGGTTACGCTAGTTTAGGCCATTCCTAAAAAAGCGTTACCTTAGGCCAGAAAGTGTAGCCTTTGATCAAAGGCGACACTTTTTGATAGTTCAGGCCACACTTTTCAGGTGTGGTCAAATGCCTAAAATGTTGTTGTGTAATTAGAGAAGAAAATAAAGCAATAGATGAAGAAAAACCCATAATAATTAATTGCTAAATAAAACTTGAAGATTCAATATTGAAACTAAGCTAAAATTACTCAAAATAGTTAAAGGAATGAAGCCACGAGCGCAGCTCTGTCCCAAAATCTATCTGATGCCCTAAAAATGGGAAAAGAAACTATTTATACTAGGCTGAAAATTCTGGACAAAGATACCCCTGCGGGTCTAGTGCGGACTGCACAAAATCGAGTGCGGCCGCACTAAGGCTCTTGGCTTGATTTATCTGCTCTCCGAACTTGGGCTTTGCGGACCGCACAAAATTGAGTGCGCCCGCGGTGGCTTCTATTGCGGTCCGCACAAAAAGGACCGCGGACCGCATTGGCTAGTTCCTCCAAAATGCCACCTCTCTGAACCTTGGATCTGTGGACCGCACGAAATCGAGTGCGGCCGCAATGAACCCAATGCGGACCACACAAAACCTTTTGTGGTCGCATTGCCTTGTGGCCTTAAAAGCATCGTCCCTGAACTTCATCTGTGCGGACCGCACAGAATGGTGTGCGGCCGCAATGACCCTGTTTGACTGAGCTTGATCTTGTCTTGGTACTTGTGCAAGTTTCACTCCTTTTTGAGCTAGTTTTTGACACCTTGTCACCTTGTTGATCAAACCTGCAATCAAGCACAACTTGTGAGCCTTTGGGACTATTTTGTACATATTTTTAATCAAAACTTAAGTAAGAAGAAGTGTAAAATACATCATAATCCCTAGTTATCATTGGCGTACTCACATTACTCCCTACACCTTGTGTGTAGATTCAGGTATTCCTAAGCTTTCAACAGTTTCTGTGTATTTTCTGGAGTTAGCAAGGTAGCTGCACGACGTTCGCATCCCTGCCCTTCTCCTTCCTATCCTAATACTTCATATTTCAGACTTAATTTGTATTAAGCAAACATTGTTGAGTTGTACTAAGTGGCTCATGGCTAGTGACACTAGATTCAGGTTGTGATGATTGTATTTTTGTACTTGTTTCCGCGTATTTATCTTGATATTTTAAAATGAAAGAATTGAGACTTAATCTGTTTAGAAAAAGAGTAAATTTTACAAAAGATATTCCATATGGTTCGTGTTATTTTGGCTGGCCTAGTACTGTGATAGGCGCCATCACGACCGGGGTATTTGGGGTCATGACAAGAAGACTAGCGCCAAACACAACTTTTCAATTGGCGAATAATTCAGCTCGTTTGGTGTCATCATCCTGCTCAAGTAGTAAAGAGAGTTTTCTTTCCCCTCACTATTTTCTTGGGCCAACAGTGCTCCAACAGACCTTTCTTGCGCTGCAATGTATAGTATCAATGGCTTTCTAGGTATAAGAGCTGCTAAAACTAGAGGCTTCATCAAGTAGGTTTTGATACTTTCGAAGGCATTGCTACAAGCTTGGTCCCACTTGAAAGGAACGCCTTTCTTCATGAGGCGACTAAATAGTTGGCACCTCCCAGAAAGTATGCTAGCTTTCCTTGCAAACTTTTCAATTCATGGATATCCCGAGGCTCAGGCATTTTCAAAATGGCATCCACTTTGGCTTGATCAATTTCAATCCCTAGATGTCGGAAAATGAAACCAAGGAACTTTTCAGAAGTAACTCCAAAGTCACATTTCAATGGATTCATCCTAAGTTGGTACCTCCGAAGCAATTCAAATACCATCCTCAAGTCTTTCAAGTGGTCGCCCTTCTCTCTTGATTTTACCACTAAGTCGTCAACATAGCATTCAACATTCTTGTGGAGAAGTTGATCGAAAATATTTTGCATAGCCCTTTCGTAAGTAGCACCAGCTTTCTTCAAGCCAAAAGGCATTATCTTGTAGCAATAAATACCCTTTGGGGTATGGAATACAGTAAGCTCTTCATCTTTTGGTGCCATGCGTATTTGGTTATAGCCCGATGAACTGTCCATGAAAGACATTGCTTCGTAACCAGTAGTAGCATCGATCATCAGCTCTGTAATAGGAAACGGAAATTCATGTTTCAGACATGCATTGTTGAGATCTCTAAAGTCAATGCACACTCGAATCTGGCCATTCTTCTTCATTACAGGGACAATACTTGAAACCCATGTTAGGTATTTAACTTCACAAATAAAGCCAGCTTCAATGAGTTTGTTAACTTCGGTTTCAATCAAGGGAACCAAGTCCGGCCTAAAACGCCTTTGAGCTTGTTTGATAGGGAGCACCATTTTTGACTGCAAGGTGATGGACTGCTACTTTCGGGTCCAAGCCAGGCATCTCTTTGTAACTCCAAGTGAAGACATCCTTGAACTCCTTGAGTAACTCAATATAATTTCTCTCTTCATCAACTTCTAGTAAAGCACTGAGGTAGATGGGTCTTGGTTCTTCATCGGTACCAAGGTTAACTTCTTTTAAGGCATCAACTGTCGTCTTCACTCCTTCTTCAAGTTCAGGTGGAGCATCCTTCGCATCTTCATCTTCTTGAGGGCCCCTATCATTGAAGGATATGTGATAACATGGTGAAACATCCTCCAATTCCGCATTATCCTCCATTGAAGATGGAACGCCATTCTCGACTTGTACAGTAACATGATACGAAGAACCCACACTTTCTTCATCTTCATCACGTTCCTTAGTATAGACCACATTATATGGCTTTACCTTCAATACTTCTTTATATGAAACCACAAGTTTTGTTTGTCACCTCATTCTAGAAGGAACCAAACTTTGGAAATCCTTAGAGATCTCCTAGATTTTGGGCGAAGCGGGTGTTCTTATGCTTTGAAAATTTCTCTGAAACTTGTTCTCTTTCTTTAATGGACCCAATCTCTCAAACATGAAGGTCATCACAGGTGATTTTCCAAGTCGATAAAAGATAGAAGGCTTGTTAGAAGCAGCCGATTCATCTTCTACAGTGATATAATTGGGATTGTATCCAGCTTTTGTAAATAGCTTGTAAGCATTAGGATCAAAATATTCATCTATTCGCTTTGTAGGGAGTGCCAAATTCTGCAAATGATTTTGGGCTACAAACCCTGCAAGCGGCTTCGAGGACAACTTTACTACCTCAATTCGTTTTACCGAAAGAGTTAACTCATTTAGCGTCTTGGTTTGGAGATTAGATGATTCACCTTTATCTTTCTTCCTTTTAGGGACATATTGAAGCGCATGACTTACTTTCTTTCCATAAGACGCAATATTCCCTCTATAAGGTTTATTCGCGTTGGGTTGTACCTCCTTAGTAACAACTTTGGCTTTACCAGTAGTCACCTCTTCTCTTTTAGTTGTGGGCTCGTCATTCTTGCTTTTCATGCCATCATCAACTTTTAGCTCCTTCACAATACGATTCTTCAAGTAGAACTTTGCATCGGTGAAGTGTGACTCTGCCTCGGTGAATAGCCCATCATCAACAACTATCTTATTCTCAACTTCGCCTTTGTAGTATTTCAAACATTGATGGTAGGTAGATAGAACCACTTTATTCTCATGTATCCAAGGCCTTCCAAGCAGGACGTTGTATGAAGTCTTTGCATCGATCACGTGCAGCCATGCACTTGATTGCATATCTTCAATAGTGATTCCCAGCCTGATCGCACCTATGGCTCTTTGCCCCCCTTGGTTGATTCCTTGGATCATCACACGACTTTCAGAGATTTCGTTCATGGGAATACCAAGTTCTTTAATTCACAGTGCGAATTGGAAAAATGTTCACTGAGGATCATCAACCAAAATTTGATTTATCCTTTCATCACACATATAGCCAACCAGGTACAATTGGCAGTTATGAAGAGTGTCACCTAGTAGAAGATCGTCATTTGTGAACGTGACCTTTTCCTCACAAGCATTAACTTCTTGAGAAATGGACTTGATGAGCTTTTTCGAAGATAGTGCCAATGGTAGGTCATCACTCTTTTCTTCCCCTTTGTCAGCATGGCAACAAGAGGCATCAATGCCCTTATGAGAAATCTTCGTGCGGAACCAACTTGGTAAGAACTCCTCCAAGGTCACTAGTTGTCGTGGCTTTTGAGGATGGTGCACCTCCACTTTTGCTTTCTTCAAATATTTAACTGTATTCCATCTCCTTGGTCTTTTCACCATCATTTTCCTTGTTGGTTGTTCTATTAATTTTTTTTGTGGGCTCCTTTTGTGGTGCCTATGACGAGTCACCAACGTCCAACCTTCATTATTATCAGGTTGATTGACTTCAGCTTTGTTTTTCTTCAATAATTCTTCATTTTTACTTCCTTCAAAACTACATAATTCGTCTGGACTAAATGAACCAAATATGATAGAGACTTGATTTGCGCTTGCTTTCTCATCTTCAAGCATGATCTTCTTTTCACGAGCCAAGTCCATAAATTTTACCTTGAAGACAAAGCATTTCTCAAGAGGGTGGCTCACGAGTCGATGGTATTTGCAGTAATTTGGGTCATTTGTTTTCCCAGCTTCATTTGGTCGCTTCATCTCCGGAAGCTCTATGAGATTTAACTCGAGGAGTTCTTCAAAAATGGCTGGCATATCAAAATCCAGAAATGGGTACTCTTT